TCAACGTTTGAAAAACTGTCCAGTCAGTTTCGTATTTCCTTTTTGCGCACACAAAATTAATTTACAAACAATGGGTAATTTGTCTTTTACATCGTTTTACGTGTTTCGAGATTAGTAAACACCATTCACAACACAGGCGCAACGACAATAACGATGCAACTAACGATAATGACCAACAATTGATAGATAATGAATAATGCATGACAATAGTCACTGAATAACGGTCATCGAACAATTCTCAATAAGTAACGCTAAAATATAGTCGCTAATTACTGGCATCGATTTCACGCAAACGCAATTAGCGGATGGTTGCGATTCGTTCGCTCGTTTTCTCTCGTTTAATTACGAGGTAAACGATGCAAAACGGCCCGATAGGACGGGAAACTACCAAATACTAATCCGCACAATGAACGAGTTATCGTATACAATGTTTCCCAATGGAGTCTTACCTACTTCGTAATACAGTTAGTATACTACTGCAAAATGTACACCTCCCTATAAATACACGGTTAATAATATACAAATTTAATCAAATTACTTCAGTTGTAATAAAATCAATGATCTACAATCTCATAATCTCAATATCGGGTATTAACTCATTTTGTATTCTACCAGAAAGCGAGGTATTACTTATTGATTGAAATTGAGAAAATTAATCGAAGGTTTAGTAATTTATGGGAGAGAGGAGAGCTGCTGTCGCGACGTGAGCAATAATAAGAGAAAAAGATTATCGACTACCGGACAAGGGGTTAACAAGATTCAACGCGTCGTCAGTCTGCCAGGGCTTTTTGTAATTCAATTCGTGTCGTCTACGGTGTGCACCTTTTATATTTCCACGTTAGCCGCATGATCGTGACGTAAGATACATAAGGCTTATTTATTCCTCGAGATTTCAAGAAAATCTTCTCAACCTTTGTATGCATATATATAAAAATTCGAAGCAAAAAATCGAATGATACAGATGATTAAAAAATCGGTGACCGTCATGAAATATCAAGGACTAGATGATATTTAATAAGAATTTCATACAAAACATAATTTGCTACCAAAACTTCATGTAAATGTAAATGAATGAACAAGTGATTACTATTTAATATTAATATTGCGACATTTATATCAATATTAAAGATGATTTTGAAAATAGGAAAGAATACAGTACTAAATTTAACCATATCTGTTTTTATGCTATAATTATTGCTGCTTTCAACATCGATGTATCAATTTATGCCCGAAACAATTATTATCTTGTCTGCGACAATTAATTTCATTTATCGCGACGCACTCAAAAATTTATCAACGTGTACACCGACATTTGCGACGGAATCAATGCGACACAGAAGCTAAAATCTTCCGTTCGTCGTATAGATGTTAAACGTCTGCGAAGCCGCTGTAACGACGACGAATTGTGCATAAATTCATCGTAATCGCCATTGACGTCATTTGAATATGCGATAATGAAAATACGTAAAACGGGGAAGAAAAAACAAATAAATTCGCAGATACACCTGGTATGATCGTTCCAAGGATCGCGAGAACTATCCAAACAGCACGGTTTATTCAAATGCAAAGATGTCGCGTTCAATTACATATTCGAACAATACATAGCAAGAGTTGTACATACATGCGCGTTTCTACTTGCAACCAATCATTCCCATTTCGGTATTGTCGATTAATTAAATTAATTGCTCTCATCGATCTCAGAAGCGAATTTCCAACGAAACCGAAAAGTACGACATAAATATCATCATTTATTATCTTCTTGTTTTTATAATGGATTTTATTTGATATTAAATTTAATTCATATTAATTTATAACTTATTGATAGACTTATTAAGTATATTATATGTGAATGCGAAAGACGAATTTCAAATGTGCGTGATCGAAATAGCAGATAGCATGCTAGTGTATACATATTATGCGACGATGAATAAAATCCATCAAATAAGTATCACAGCTTAGCCAAATATGTTTGTCTTCGTGGAGAACGATACACAATAGCAGATTGCGTTTCATAACTTTGTGTCTTCTGATATTTTGTCTTACTCTGTGATAATGACTAATTGAGATTAATATAAATCCTAACTCAATATGTGAAGTTCTCTTTGAAAAACCAAGACTTTATTCATTTTTAGGATTCCCTAGATATTAAAAATTGATGAAGCCAACATTGTTGTTTCAATATTTTTGAAGACGACTTACACGAAGGAATTATTTTTTGCATGTACAATTAAATGAAAGTTGAACATGGGAGTCTTTCATTCGGTTTCTTACAAGTGAAGAAGCGATTTCCGTGAAATCTCTATTATACATGGAACACGTGAGGTTAGCGGAAAACTGCGGAAACTCAAACGAATACGTCTAATTTATGACATATTCATTACGAAAGAGAAACGAGGACGGGAAGCCGCAGTTACGACGGAAATAAGATATCATGGGAAAACTCAATCATGGCCAAATTTAGAACTCCAGAATGTTCATTGCCAATGTCTCTCATAAGACGAATATGTACAAATAAAAACGGAGTAATTTAAATGTCACATATACAAGTAGCGATAATTTTGTAAACACACGCTTCAGCTCGTCACTGAATCAATGCATAATTTTAGACAATGGTACTTGATCAATGCTAGCTTTTGCGTATATTTCCTTTACGTCAATTTCTACTATAGTGTTAGAACCGATACTCCTATCACGTTCTTATGCATCAAAACATGAATAAAAATATAAAATGGTGAACAATGCGATACGGATTTTGTTACACACGTGCGTATTATTGAAGAAGCAATTAATAAAAAACGATTGCTTTGAGTTTCGAATTAAAACGTGGGTATCAAAACTGACTAAAAATAGTGAATAATCATATAGCGTTTATTCCAATCCATCATTGTCTGTTTTGATTTTATCATGAATCTAGAAGCGTGAACTAGAGACGGAATAGACAAACTGTGTAAGAGAGAATCAGATAGATGAAGAGAGAAACGGTTAACCGCACGTTCAATGGCTTTTGAAATCGAAACGAACGTATTGGTGGCTGTTTGTGCACGCAAATTGAACGTATGTGAGTAACGTCCTTCGTATGCCCGTGCCTGTCGCTGTTTGCCAAGCTAAGCGTAATGTTGACGAGGTAAAAGGGGGAAAAGACCGAGACAGATAACAGACCGCAGAAAAAGGATAAGAAACAAGTTTTATGTACCCCGCGTTCCACTTCGATACAAAAGACAATTTTTTGTCATTTAACCCGGGCCACTATTAAAGTTGGTTACTAAGAATTGGATGGTTTTTTACGTTAACCTAGATTCTATCACGAAACGGCTTCACTTTACAGACAAACGATGCTATCTAAAGCCAAATTAAATTACACTGACTTATTTTCAAACACGACTCCGAATTTAGTATTGAAATCTATTTTCACACAAATAATTAGAAACAATATAGTAAATGAAATTGAATTAATTAATGAAAGTATTTTCGAGCGAAGGTACGTAAAGCTAGCTTCGGCAAAAGCTAAAAGGAATCCATTTAAGGGAATTCTTATGGGAGAGCCGAAAGTTTTTAAATGCGAACTACTCTGCAATTTAACTATGAACGTTTACGTCACGAACTCCATAATTGATTGCTCGGTCGACGTTAACATCGCAACACCTCCGACAGAAAACATTAATTCTATATTTAACTGTTTTCTCTACGATGCATTTTGCTCTATATTGAAAAACATGTTTTGGAATAACTCATGCCCGTCAATCGTATACATGTATCTATGTATTCCAGCGACCAGCACCTATGAAAATATTCCGTGTCCCGTAAAATTGCTCGTAAACCACGCGAACGGCTAACATATGGCCATATTTTTGCTTTCGAATACCGACTTGAAAATGGTAGCGATAAAGAATTTACTTTTACGATGAAAGGTATACGATCGAGATTCCCGCTCATCGATAAAACGTTCTAAAATAATATCACTCAGAACGTATTCTTTGGGGTTTCAAATACGCTTAACTCCTTTTACGATACCTACGTATTAATCGTCTTTTAACCGCGAACGAGCACACGATAAAGCTTGATCGAGCGCTGATCGTCGATAACAATTATTTGCACGATTACGCAGATAATACGTGTTTGCGGTTAAGAAAAGACAATACACACTGCAGGTGTACCCTTCCCCCTTCCGTTTATGTACAGTCACCGTGAAAATCGTACAATACTACTTTTATTACTTCTGATATTAGAAAGTGTTGCTATTATTTAACAGAAGTTGCATACTACGGATACGATGCTCTTTTTGTACAGTTGAGAAGAACAGTTTAAATTAGAACTTGATTCAGTTTCACTTTAATCTGGAGTTCCATGGAAATATATTTTCCTTGAGAGCGAGTGTATATCGACCCTGAATATGCTTTGCAAAACGAGTCGTCGATGTATTGCACACAAACGTGTGTGCAGACTCATGGGTCATTCAAAGTGAGAGGAAAAAGAAGAATGAGAGCTGATAAGGAAGAGAGAGAAACGTAGTAAAAGACAAAGGGAAAAACGAAGCAGAGGCGCACGGACACAGTAGAGGTACGATGCCAAGGTAAAGAAAGTGAATTTCCGTTTTCTCAGTTCCCTAGAAGGCCTCGGCGAGCCGGAAGTAATTACGATCGGATTTCTCGAGCTTCTACTAGAGAACTGAAGTGAGAGAACCCGATGGCCAAGTTGCACCAGGTATACTACTACTGGTTGCCATCTATCACGCTTAATGACTGCCGAGGAAGTCGTTTCTTGATACACCTCTCCTTTGGTACAGTCTGTCCCACAAGCCTATTGAAAAATATTTTCAAAATTCACCTAACGTGAGTGAAACTGAGATAATTTAAAAATATACAGCCTCTTTGATTCGGGTTGCTTTGAAAGCCTTTCGATTTTGTTTACTTGGAGATAACACTATTGTGCTAAATCCGATGTGTGGACATCTCGTAACTGAAGAAAGAATGTTAGGGTAGCTTGCAAAGAATTTGAAGGAAAACTTTACAAAGCTTTAGATGTAATTCGGATATAACATTGTAAATGGCACAATTTTATATATAATTCACATTTCATCTGTTTATCCCTGAGAGCAGCCTATGCTTTTTATTAGCAAGCAAGTAAAATCGAGATGCGGAAGGCAGACTATGGTTACCGAGGCAAGGTAGTTAACGTCGATTAGTAAGCACGAGGTTCTACGAATGCAGCGATGCTCGTTTATCCGCCTGAGCAATATGCACGTGCATCGTAGTATAAAAAGCGTAAAACAATTTTTATTATTAAGAGTTAAATAATTAAATTGTAAATGATTTACGAACTGAAGAATCCTAGAATCTACTGTGTGCTGTGAAAAACTTTCCACATACTATTGTAATTCCATTGAAACTGCAAAGCCAAGCGCTTCGGGGATAGTAACCCGGTAAATCGAGCGCGTACACGCGCTACCGATGCAAAATGGATTAATTAAACATGGCAACGTGATGTTGATGATCCCAACGTTTCTTCATCGAAAGTGAACGTACGGAAGATGAAGTTAAATGCAATGTTGCCATCGAGCGAAAGTTAGATGGCGCTGAATGGAACATAATTTTTCCCAGACGAGCGAAGTACAACGAAATCAAGCCAAGAAGACTAAGATTAAGAAATACCAAGAGAGAAAATATCAATTCAAAGTTAATTGAATATTAACAAGATTCTGTCGAAATAAGAATTTGTCACAATAAAAAAAAAAACTGTTGGTCAAAGTATCGAATTTAAAAATGATGAAATCGATCAAGTTGATTTCTAGTTGTAAGCGATCCAAACAGGTTTGATTCGAGATTTTGTTGTATGCGTGTTGAACGTAACACGTACATGGCAAAATTATAAGGCTCGTGCATTCGCGTGTGCACACACCGATTCATCGATACGATGAGATATCGAGAGAAAGACGAAGCTATAAAGTAGAGAGAGGAAGAGAGAGAGAGAGATACAGTTCTCTCTTGTCCTTTTCTCGATCTACAGTTCTTATTATTATCCACAGCGCAACACCAACGTCCACGGTTGCGCAACGTCTTTTATTAGCAGCTAGGGCGGTCGCGAAATCGTCCGATCGTTTCTTCGTTTGAACATTCCACCAACGTACGAACACATGCGTACACGTACATATTCTCTCCTCAGAAACGCGGATACAATGCGTCCGTTATAAATTTAACCCGTCTCTCTTTCAGAGATAGAAAGAGAGAGAGACCCGCGATGATGTCTAGGTCGTTGTTAAACTATGCCTCGCGTTCTGGAAGTCTTCTTAAGAACAGCTGCCCTGACTGTGTATTATTAAACTTCTGATATAATTTTCAAATTGGTTGAGGCCAAAGTTGCTCCTCAGTCAACAGATGTTCCGTGTTTTATGACAAATTAATCTTCAGCAGTCTCCACGTCTTATTAGTCCTCCTACACTCCAATTATCAAATTGTAGCAAGGCGTTGTGGCCTGTGTATAATATTTTACTGTATTTAATATATAATCCTGCTGACATTTCTAATCTTCAAATTTCTCTGAAAAACTTTTACTTCTTGATCCATTGCGGAATTTGGTGACTAGGCGACTTATTATGTTCTTGTAATGAATTACAATTCACCTGATATTCGAATCGACAGACACGAATTAATTTGTGCACGTTAGTAACAAACGGCTTAGGAGACAGAACAAGACTTTTAAGAACGTTGCACGATTGATGATAGTTTGCCGCATAGCAATTGCAAGCTAATGCCGGAAATCCCCCTATGAGTCAGTGGGTCAGTATATTTTCCGTCCGGTGTTAGTGTCTCGGTTGGATTTTTTTTCTTCCTTTTCCTCCCGCCTTACGAGTTCGCCTTGAACGGCGGATAAAAAGAACTTGAAATCCTCGAGAGGCAGTGCGCTCGAAAAGGTCCTTGGAATTGATGCACGGAGTCTGCGACACACATGTCTATCTATTTATGTATGAGACGTACGTATTCCGACCCAGACGCGATAAATACGTACACGTATAAAACGAGATCCTGATCGCGGCAGATCTTTCCGCTTCGAAAATATGCACCTTATTCGATATACAGATTTCTAGTTCGTACATCATTGAGTCCGGTATCAAAATGAGTCAAAGTCAGATGTGCAAATCGTGACGAACTTGATTTAATACAATACAATATTTGCAGAATTCTTGCAACGTTAGGTACACGAATATAATTCGTGTTTACTTTCTTAATTAATGAATTTTCGTTCCAAAGATAATTGCGAGATCTTCGAATATTGTAGAAACAGTAATTTCTAATTTATTACATAGGATCTCGTGTAAACTTACTTCGTTACGCATTTTAAATTGAGTTCCAATGATCTATGCGAGATATTGCATTGGAGTCTGGAACTAGACCACTCTTACGAACAGGGCATTGCTCTGAGAATGCGTTTGTCGCTCATCTCTTCATGACGATAATCAGGTTACGTCATTTCTTTACCGGTCATCGTAGAATCGATGACCTACCTCAAGTAAGTCGTGTGTGAGCCTCTTCTTAAGCTCCGCTACACGTGCTTTGTTGTCCTTCGCCTTTTTCAATGTTTTGCATTTCGCCTTGAGATAATTAACAGTTGTAATGTACGAGGTAAAAGTCTATACGTATCTTGCAGCCATTTATTTCCCACTTATCAAAATTAATGAACTGCCTCGTTGATGAGCTTTGCTATTTTGTCTGCCTTCTTCAGTTTTCCATCGTTTGTACTCTCTGCTCGTTCTAAAACGAATTATCGGTCGTCGAGAGCCTCTCCTGGGTTTTGAGAATACGAGCTGCAAGAGCGTATCTCGGAGCCAGTTCGCGAGTGGCTGATTCTACACGCCGCCGGTCGTCTTTATATACCCGGGAGATGGTGTCACGTGACACGACCTCCACCACCTCCCGGCGTGATTCTTGGAACGCGTTGAACGGTGCCGGTGAACACGTATACGACGCGATATCACACGAAGAAGATCATCGGTATAGACTGTAAATGTAGATGCAGAGAGAGAGAGAGAGAGAGAGAGAGAGAGACTAATGCCACTGCTTGCACGGGTTTAGCTCTCTTTGAGACCTGCCACGAGAATGGCGGGCGCGTGCGCTTCGATCATGCGCTCCACGAACAGAAGAGTATAGCCTCGCGTGGAAAACGCGTTTCACGCCGTCACGATGCGCGACGAATCGGTCTAAGTACGGGCGATTAGATTAAATGAATGACCCTTGAATAACGAGGTTTCAACGGTATAGATCTCGTTCTGCTGTGTTACTGAAATGATAACAACTTCACAGACGATATAAATGGAATTCATATGAATTTTTACACATTAAGTGCGATTACATGCGTGGAGTAAATGTAATCGTAAGCTATGAGTGCTACTCAAAGTCGTATACTCTTTAAAATTGAATAACTCATTTAAAATTCAGGCATACGGTTTGTGTTTGTTTGAGAAATTAGAAGAATTAGTTTACTAGACGATGTATCAACAAAAATTGCAATTGAGGGAATTCATGAGCAAGAAAAGTACAAGTCCCTTATTAAAGTAATTCTTCAAAACATGTATGCATAAGTACTAATGGTAGGCCTGTTTAATATCTGTAATTGTATTTCGCACCTTTAAAAAGTAGTTCAACATGTTTTAGATTTTAAAGACTGCGATTTATCTGCACACATACAAGAAGCTGACACTGATTATCCCATACCATAATTACGTCACTTACAAATGAATGTACACAGATTACGCTTGATAAGAAAATCACGTTCCAGAGATTAATACTTGAAAAAGTAACTACCATTCAGAAAATTATCAGCCTTAGTTAATGGAAAGCAGGGCATCCGTGTCCAGTGGGTAATTATGTATCGATTCAGGAAATAGCGTAACTCAGATAATAAGATTAACGTTCTCGTATGATTCTTAATAATCATTTTTCGCAACGGTAAGGGGAATTAAGACTTGATTCATAATATCCTCTATCGTATCAAAAATCTCCATCTATATACACAGTTTTTATCCTTATTCGAGTCTTTCTTAAAGTTTTCTCTATATAAACATGTACCTTGGGTAATATTAATGTGCGATATTAAGGGGTTAGAGTAGTTACGTGATTCTTCTAACATTTTGTCAGTACATTTTTGACAAGTGTTAGAAAACTCAGGAGACCAGCCTGGCCTATTAACGAAAAAACTGAGACGCATTGCGAAAACAAGCAGGGCTGTCTATTTTCGACACGAGGCAATCGTTTCGAAAGGATTACGAGAAACGGTAAAAGCGCGAAGAAAAGGGGGATAAAGAAAGAAGATGATGAGAGGAAGAAGTGGGTTCGGGTTACGCTGTAAACGACCTTAAAGGCGGGTCGAGGAGGCGCAGTCCGTTGCGATAGTAACCTACATAGCATCGGCAGGCACGCTGGACTGCTTAGGCTTGTTTACGAGACACGGTAGCACCGACGGGAGGCGACGAGTCGAGTTACGGTTATGAATCTACCGAGCTCTGATTCTCACATCTACACTCTGACCGACACGTCTAGCCGTCTTGATTCGAAGCCGAAGTGCCTGTCATTGATATTCTACGTCACCTGCCACGTTTAAATAAAGATACGGGGGCGTTCCTTACGTCTTTTTTTGGATCCAACCATCATCTATTCGTATCTTAATTTTTGTCACGCTATTAAAGTGTGGATACGGCAAAGAACTTATCATTAAATATGCCAAATTCAAAACGAAGTTTTTCTAATTTTAATAACTTTAGATTATAAAAAGAAGTAACAAAATCGTGTTTGTGTAATTCGATATAAAAAGTCGATTCACTCTTCGTTACATATAAGTTTTATTCAAATTATTAATTCTAACATTTCTGTACGTTACCAGTTAACGTTATTATGTAATGTCGGTTGTGGTAAGTAAACATTATAAACGATCGTATACGTCATTATTATTTTACGCTTGTATATTGAGGTCAGATAACGTTATAAATTATTTTTTTTACTCGCGTGACCCATATACGGAAAACTTTGTTATACTTCTAGATGTTTTACCGCATAACATATATCTTACCATGCTGCAATAATTTTAAAGAAAGACATGACTGAAACATTTATTACAACAAAACACTCTAACAACGCATCTATTAAAATAAAATATAGTACAATCATATTCACGTTTCAAGTGTTAAAATTTTCACTAATGTATTATGTACGTACTCGTGCATTTTCTAATAAATGTCTAAACAACGAACATTGAAAACGATTTTAAAAATACTACAGAAGGTATGCAAGCCGAAAATATAGAGCGGTAAGTAACAGGTGAACCACTTTCGATACGGCGGTGAATAGTAAGTTCGTCACGAAACAATACACGTGACGTCAAACGCAAACTGCGCGATGTAAATTGAATCCCACGACAGGCGCAAGCATACGAAACAAAAATTTTTATGCGTCATGTCAGCTCGAGTTAATGTAAAGTAGATTTAAAATGATTATACAACGCGCTTCTCTCCGTTTATCGTTACAAAAAGATAAAAGATACGCGCGCGCGGGTGCAGGACAGTTGTCTCTATGTTTAATTCGGTAGTGTGTATCTGAGTCTTGATATCGTGCACACATTCCGTGTACTTTGTTAAAAAAAAACACGCATTGTGTTCACTATAAAGCGACCATATTCTTGATTTCACCATATTCTGGATAATTTCCACAATTCTGCACCGAAAGAATTGTCCCCATATTTTTCTCGTGTTTCAAGATTTCACATGATTCATGCGATTGATTGAATCTTTTATTCAGCACAATTTAACGCACAGTGAAAATTACTATTTAATTAAATGTTTACTGTTTTCAATATTATATAGTCCAGAGATCTTTTTTGTAACTTTATAAAGTTTATTAGGTATTTTAAGTGAAACAGTTTAGAATGTCAGTAATTGAGTAGATGATAATAAATGAGTCTTTTAGTCTAGTATAAAGATAAATAAGGCCGGACAGAAAACATGAGAAGGCCGCAAGTTCCCTATCCAGGGTACTTACATCCTCTCGTCAGATTCCGAGAGGAAGTGCGAAATAGTTTGTACCATATGTCGCGCTCTATAACCCTCGCGCGTTATATTTTATTCCAGGCTGCGTTTCTTGCTTCGTTAATTCCGTATATACCGTTTATTCGCATAAATAAATAGTGTACATCAAACATCTATTCAGAACGAGAGCAATTAGTAATGAGCCCGAGTAAAGTCCGTGTCTAACAATAAGTTACAAATTACAAACAGAGTGAAACGGATAGATCAGAGGTGGGGAACGTGCGGCCCCGACGCCGCATGCGGCCTCCTTGAACGGTTTTCAAATGTTTTATATTTTAATGTGTTCAACTACTTTCAAGCAAGAAACAAATGCAAATATCCTACATACTAACTTAAATTTTCCATCAGATTTGAAAATTATTTTCTATATTATTATGTTAGTTATTTATAACTTAATATTATTATTTTTCTATTGTGTTCCGTTATAAAGTAATAAAATTGTTTATTAAAATTGAAAGATCTGGATGAATATATATGTATATATATGCTTAAATAAATGAAAATACCAACAGTGAAATATAAAAAATTATAGCAACCTCCTTTATTAGTGCCTAATTTAAATGTGGCCTCTAGTGGTAAAAAGATTTCCCATTTCTGCTATAGACTCTTCATTCTAGACCGACCTCAGGTACAGAATAAGACGGTCATGACCACAGAATGAAATGCAGAATCATTCGCGTTGTTGCGTCAACGATGACAGATTGCATGATGGATATCGATATATTTTTTCTTCTTAAAAAAACAGATTTTGAAGAGGCAGTAGACTGCATCATCGACAGACGGTAACATCGGTTTACGACATGAACGCAGATTTGTACTTTACACGGTATCACGCGATTTCACGGATTATTGTTTCTACAGTAGCAGCTGTTTCCTGGAACCATTGTTTTCTTCTCTTTTCTTTTAATGTTTTATCGTGATGACTATTTTTTAATCGTAGCCAATCAATAAACACCTTTATCTTAACGCCAGTTCGAAATATAATAGCTTCTACCACTGTTATAAAGCGTTCGATAAAATATTGCAATTCTCAGGGTCTTACTTCAATACGAAAAATTGAAGGCATTTAATCTCTGTGCTCAATACGCCATCACACACCATGCTCAATATGTACAAATGAGTAAATAATTATTATTACAGTAGATTGTAGTTACAACTTTTTGGAAAACAGTTAACTTTGTCGAGAAGAGTTCCACCTTCGCCGAAACTCAATTACGATTCCCTTGAACTAAAAATAAATTTTAATCATTCGACCGGAGGGTAAGTGGAATATTCAACGTGACACGGGTAACATTGAAAGCGCGCGTGGGCGTTCGGCCGTACGTACAATCGAGAAGAAGGGGGATGCTGTGCGTGTAATTCGACAACAGGGCGCCATGTGACGTCACTGAATCGTCAATAACACACCCTTCACTGCTATCTCCCGAATTCTAAATCTAAACCCACCGCCCATTCGACTACCGAACAAGCTTTATCGAATTATTTAATCACGTAACTCATTTCCCCGCAATTGAATGAGATATCGCATGATTGACACATTGTTTAATTGTATTTAGAAATTCTTCTCGTCCTTCTATTAGGTATCGGGAACCTGCAGTCAACGTTTAATAAATGATAAAAAATCGTAATAGTGCTCGAAATATTCCGAATCAATTTATATTAATTATTTACAATCAATCATAAACGAAATAATAATAATATGTTAATGAATCATCACAAGCTTAAATAATACAATACGCAAATAAATAAGTAC